TATTCCGAACACAGAAGTGTGTTCATTTGCTGCGACTCCCGAGACAGTGACGGATGTTCACACTGCTCACAAGACTCTGTTGAAATCCCTATTCTCTCAGTGGCCGGGATTGGTGTTGCATGTGCGACACGCTGTTCATGTCACATCCAGCGGTGGTGCCCAACGTAGACATTCCGGTGGAGAAAAGAGGAATCTTAATAGGCTGATCAACTTGATCGAGGTCGCTTGTGACGTTCTCACAGAGTACACAAGAGTCGGTAATATTGATATATTTTTACGCAATCACAAGACCGCTCTTCAGTGTGTTATGATATTCGCTTTCATGATCAAGGAGTTAACTGTGAAGTTCATTGGTATGCGCAGTGCTATTATTTCGGGTCTTCCGAAACCCCAGGATGTTGTAGTTCACAATACCTCCCTCAAGTAATTCTTGCCTGGTGCGACAATTCAGGAAACGTACCTTAAAAGCAGGTGTCTACGTCTTGATGAAAAGATGTATGAGAGACCCAAATTGCCAGAAGACGTCACTACTGGAGCGTCGGGAGAGGCCGCGGAGACGTGTCTGATGTAACGCAAATCGAGGAAAGTTCTGAGCTAGGTGTTGCCTCCATCTGGTAGGATCCGATAAAAAGCCCGGCCGATTTTCGAGCGTAGGTGAGACAGGCACGGGTTACACTCATCAGAAGAGCAGGTGTAGAAAATGTTGAGGGAGCAAGCACAGCAACCATCGCCACAAAAGCGCGTCTGAAGGGCTTCTTTTGTGTGATTTTCGTGTTGCATACTGCAGTCAAGGTTGAGACTGCAGTATGTGTCACTGTAGTACGTAGTTAGTGAGAGGCATAGCAAACGGGAACGGCGGCGGGTAAGCTGGGAAAAGCGGGGGCAAGCAGCTACGCAATGTGTTCCTCGTAAACCGAAAGGAAAGGCTCGTTGAATTGAGTTGAGATGCACTTTCACGTTGGAAGCGTTGTGGCACGATCGAGCCACCCTCCGCATGTAAGCGAGTTCCACATCAGCGGGCGGTGGATATGTTTCCAGGTACTCTCTATTCACCCAAACAACAAGAGTGAGGATTTGGTAGCAGCTTGGTTGAGGATGACAGGTGCCGCTCGAAAGCAGCGATCGTTGTCAGTTGAATGGCAGGGTCGCATTCGGAATCGAGACCAGCGCCGAGCCCATGGAGGCAGGGTCACAGAGATGAGCAGTTACACCATACTTCGCGCCTGTGGGTAAAAGTAGACATCTACAGTACGGTCGGGATATCCTACAGCCTGTATTAAACCTCATCATCAGCTCGCGGATTAAACATGCTGATTCTCTGCAGCACCAGATCTCATTCCTCCACCTGTTCCCACGATCCGAGCGATCCAAAAAAGAGATCCGTAGACATGGAGCTGCAGAATTGTTGCTGCATGCCAGACTCATTTATCACGTCGGCAAAAAGCTCGACATGTACTTGACTTGTAAGAACAAGAAGCAAGTAAAGATCGGGTGAAACTGTCCACGATGTGCTGTTGAGATTTGTGAGTACTTTTCTAGAATATTGTCGACCAACACGAGTAGGAAGAGTAAACAACGCGTTCCGGGAAAGACTTCCTTATCCAGGGTTCCATACCAAGCTCGTTGCAACAATGTAACACTTAAACAGTCTCGTTGCCATGTGATGGCTCACCAAGGCAATTCAATTTTGACCTGTCGGAAGTGGCACCTTGACACTGTAGAACACTTGCGAAATCTTCCATTCTGCTGTTGAGGCCTTCTGTTATACATAGATAGCCCATCAACCAGACAGAAAAGGTCTCTAGATTGTACTCCTTCAAGTTGGCTTGGAGTAAACTCGCCTTCTCTCCCAACCTCATTGCACTTTGCCCTCCGTGGACCCCAAGCATGACTAATACCAAATCACCATTTACCTACAGTCATTGTTGTACCTAAATTGCAAAGACAAACGCAAGGATACGTAAATCATGTGCATTGGAGCATGGGAAATACGGTCGTGCAAAGTTGAAGCGGCTCTCTGCCCGCCGAGCCTACAGGATGGTCTGCATTGCCGGGGCAGTCCACATGAAGCCTTGCAACATCGATCCCCGGGGCAAAGCTGATGCATGTACCTTCACGAACAATCTCGAACAATCTCGAACTCACACTGGTTTCATAAACACAAATATGCTGCTAGCGGAGGCGTGGAGAGCCGACTCGCTTCCTTCACCTTCTCTCCCTGACAGCGGGGGAAGTAGTCGGAAGCACGCTCCTAGACCAATATCGTTGGGAAGCGAAAGTTTTCCTCAGTGCGTTTGCGTCGATTAAATGACTAGGGCGGCGCAAGAGAACGAGCAAGAGTGGTTGAAGTGGGCTAGAGACTTCGGCGATCTCGAAATACCACCCCCTGTCTGGGGCCCCCTCCGTTCCGCTAAAATCAATTTTCTCACTAGCATTTTAAATTTTGTTCCTACCTCACGGACTGTGTCTTCTTGCAGTAGAGTACATCCCACTATCGTCACGGGTATCGATTCATCACCAAGACTATTTAAGTGAAACGCAAACCTCCAGCGAACGAGAAGCAGGATAGTCACGCTCATCCCGGATCGCCGGCCCTCCCCCTCCCCCTGACGTCCAACAATCAGCCCCAACTCGACATCCCCGTCCTCTGCACCATGAACACCACCCTATTCATGGTGGTCACCAGCCGTGGCTACATCGAGCCCTCCCTGGCCTTTATCGATGCTCTTCTACGAAAACAACATCTTCGCCCACGTCCGCATCTGCCTGCAGTCCGACTACGCGCACCTCGTCCCGCCCTCCCCGCGCCTCATGGTCCACCTGCTCCCGTTCTCCAAGGGCACTTTCCAGAAGGTCATGATCAAAGACCACATCCTCACGCGCCGGTGCTGCTTCTTCACGCGCCAGCCGTTCGACATCTTCTCCTTCCAGCTGCATTGAATTTCGGCCATGGTCTGCGACATCGTCCTCTCTTCGCTTTCCTCGGTCCAAAAAGTCGCTGCGGCCCACCCCCCCTCGCTCGTCCACGGCTCCTCGCCTGCCGCGAATCTAGCGTCCACGGTCGTCGACGCGCACGCCTTCCTGGACGTCGTGCTCAACCTGCAGCCGAAAGTGCCCACCTCGGCCGGCCCGAAGTACATGTCCTCCGTCGCGAACGCCTCGCTCGCCGCCAGGGAGATGGCGTACCTCCAGCGCCACCCCGCCCATCCAAATCCTGCGATCCAAAGTTCGCTGCGAGGACACATATCAGTAGTTGATGAACTACCCATTGCAGAAAAGAGGAATGAGATTGAGAGCGTGGTTTCCGAAGCTATTGCGTCTTATACCGGCGAAAGAAATTCTTGTACAGTGATTGAAGCAAATAGCCTTCCTAGCTCAATTTCACAAAGAATCAATACCGGAGGCATACTGCATCGCGAATGTAGCGAGCTACGCACCAGAGGGCCCCTTCTGGAGACGTCTTTTGCCCTGGGTGTCACTATGTAGCACATGATCTGGCATTGCGGTTGCAATGCTCATGACGAATACAGCAGTCTACGTCATGCTCGCATGCCATCAGCGCAACGTCTTCAGTATCAGAGGCTCTAGTAGTAGAGCAAAAACAACTTTGAGCTCATGCTAGTGAGGTATCCCACTAAGGACGGTCCTCGCCGATTGAAACGAATTAAAAGCCAATTCGGGATCAAGTCAGCCTCCGCAGGTGGGCGCTGGGTGAATTTTGGCGTTTGTTGGCGTATTCTACATTCTAGTACCCGTCAAATCCGATATCACTGCCTGTCGGGAGACCGACCGAAAAGGGGGCGGTCCGGAGGGGATTTTAGTAAAGGGTAAAAGGGTGGTAAATAGGGTTACCTTAAAGGGAAGGGGAAGAGCGGCAGGCTATTGCCTCGGAACCGCTACAGTTGGTGAGCACGGTCAGGGGACGGGGTTGTCGGGTTGATGGTTCAGGTGATCGAATGTGCTGAGGTCGAAGACGAGTAGCGTCTTCGACCTGGCTTTATAGTCCTATTGACTCTACAACAAAAGTAGGCGCACTACCATAAAAGGGAGGTTGCGCCACCGACGATATGTCTAAACGGTTACACCCTAAAACATGTAGAATTGTATGTGGCACGTCCTTAAGGGACTCTATCATTGATAGCTAAATGTAGCCTACAAAATCCCTGAATTGATATTGATAACATAGAAGTGTGATATCTACTGTAGTCTAGTCAATAAGTCTAACACTGCCAGCACACGAATGCAAGGCGATGACGTTCAATGAAAGGCTCTGGTTCACGACAAGCTTGAGAACAAGGACGTAGTGCATTATCTCAAATTATATCTTTCTATGAAGAAGTACCATGAATCCATCCTTCATCTCAGAATGAAGAATCTATGTAAGATGTTTCTCATCAATCATAATTAATGCAACTCATCGTATCGGTATACTGTTTTCCCATACACTAATCATAACGTCGATTTCACTTGTTTCCAATGATCAATTGATCATGTTTCATTAATGAAACAACCAGCGTGATCATTGGGCGACTCCGAAAAACATAAAAACACTTTTTGTGTATGCGCAAATCCGCCGATTTTGATTGAGTCGGAGGTGTTTGTGCATACACAAACCGCCGATTTGCTCTTCGTTCCCCTCCCGATGTAATTGTTTGTGCACAGACACAAACGCACATCCGCACCCACCTATACCACCCTATATCATACCATGTGCTCAAATATTTCTCTGCGATCTGTCCGATCAACCCATCCCACCCCTCGGCAACCTCATTCCTATTTCGATCTGGCCTCCCTCCACACTTTCCCTCCGTCGTATCAGCCGCTGTCCAACCCCGCAGCCCAACGTCTACATGGCTCATGTTGCCGACTCCGACGAGGAGCCGGCACCCGATATTTGTCCCCAAGCCGGCGGCTCCTTCGTCAGTATCATAGGATAGGGCGTGAAGGGGGTACCGAAATCCGTCCGCCGGCGTGCTGACACCTCACTGAGGGTGAATTGGCATTAAATGTGTCTTACACAAATTTTTGTTCACATGCATTTCCGTGCCAAGGCACAAAATACGACACACATACACAAAGAAATTTGTGTGTACACAATTTATGTTTTTCGGAGTCGCCCATTATCACCATCATCATGTTATGCTTTGACATTGGCATTGACGATGCACTGTCACGTAGAGCAACGGATCCATTGCATTTGGGCGTGACAATTTGCTGGCATCGTTACTTCCAAACAGTACAATTCATTGGCTCGTGTTGGCAAAGCATCCAGTCACTCGGAGTCCAACCCTATTCTTACTGCTCTTGTTGCAATATTTCCCGCTATATTTGCAACAATCCAATGGTATGGGTACCACTCCATTGTCTCGATCGATAGATCACGTCCTGTTTTTAAATTGATTTAAAAAGTAATGCAATGGATGTGTGCTCCCCGATCTGAATTGGTTATATCATTCTAATTTTCTATACTGTATCAATCAATGATTACGTCGTCGGCTGGTCGACAACCAGACACAGAACTGTACATATACCTAATGATCAACTTTTCCGGCACGATCAACCATCCGCTTCCTTCACCATTAATCCACTATTCCTTTCCCCGCCCTTCCTGTTTTACATTCTCCCATTTCAAACATCTTCCCAAATCACACAATAATTCAATCGAAATGACGAAGAAGAGAAGAAGAACAAATTCGTCCTTTTGGCTGGACGCACTGCAACAGAGCACGGGAGCTAAAAGGTTGCGCCGATCGGCTCAAGTGAGCGAAGGTCACGATAAAGGGACTGCGATTTCTGCTCAGTATGAAATCGGGTCCGGCGACAATCGCCCTTCATCCCATCGAGATGTAAATATATCGGACAACGTTCCCTCCCCCACAACGTCTCAAGGCTATCCAAATTTCACGACTGATCCTGTACCATTCGGAGACGATGCTAACCAGAATCCCCGTTCCATAAATATCGACAGCCCTGGGAGCATGTCCGAAACATCCAAACTTAGTGTCCAAAAGCAAGTTCAATCAGGCGTTTATCCAGATCTGGATGGAATATGGGAAGTTGAGGGTGCAGAAAGAGATGGAAGTTCTGAAGAAGAACACGGTTTTAAAGAATTTCACCCGGAAGAGGTTGATTGCTGGCAGGACCCTATTGCACGTAACTCCTCACAAATTAATGAATTGTACTATGGACCCGTTTGGACGTCTCCACACAGTGATCGCGATGACGATAATGAACAGCGTGAAAAAAGTACTCACAAAATGAAGATGCAGTTCTTGAGCACCATGACTCCACGGGTTCCGATAGTGTCGATGTTATCGCTGTAGAAACTTCTCTTCAACAATGTCTCCGAATATGGAATTCCAATCTTAATTTGACAGCAATCGTTTCCGTCATTGGTAGTGTTCGCTATACTTTTCAACAGTATGAGTATGCTCGAGGCATTTTACGTGATGCAGGAGCCGAACCGACGTGGCCTCCGTACACCAGAACGCACCGGTAGTTCCGAAGAATAATTGAGACCTGTATGCCCCAAAGCAAGCCGGTAGAACTTCCAAGAACTACGTGCATCACTACTTCTAGCACAAGGGAAAAGGTGGCCATATCTCAGTCACGAGAAAATTCTCCAGGTATGGAGAGTCGCAACACAAAAAACCTAAGGGAATCGTCGTATTTGGAAACTGAGAAAGTCCGTGTGTTTTTCCTAGTGCGTGGGCCAAGCTTGATGTTACCACTTCTATTATATTTGTCGAAATTTTTCCGTGCTATTACCATGAACAGCATAATCCCAGCACACTGGAACGCTCTGCGATCGTTCGAGACAGGGCTCCGATCACAAGATCTTGCGAATACATATTCGCGAGTTCCGGAGGAAACCAAGTGCAATGCGAGCCTGGGTGCCAAATTGAGATCTCTGTCCAGAGTTGACAGCCAAATTTCCAAAGCGCGTTTCGAATTTCGGCGCTAGAGGATGGCTACGTCCTTAGAGCGAGTATTGTTGCGAACTGCAGTGTAGGTGCTGAGCTTTTCTCGAACCCCAGTGTTGACAGAGCACTACGTATTCGGTCTCTCTCGTCCCAACACCAAGCTGTAATATCTTCCTTGCGGACTGCTTCTGCGTCAGGCCCATTCAATGAAGCCGACGCAACCAGATTTGTCCCCGGCGACCTTTTAACGTTTCTCAGATCTGAGAATGGAGACGAAAACAAATTCTCCATCATTGTTCACAGGTTCTGGAGGTATGAAGATGGTATTCCCTCTGTCTTATTAATATGGATGTACTTTCCTCCTCCCACCTCGGAGGGTGCCCAGCAGGAGAGCATCCCTTTAGAATTACTTGAGGCAGAAGTCGTGGAAATTGTCAAGCTGATAAAATCTCCTACCGCTAACCAGGGTACGAGAAACCCTGATCAAGATAACTCTCATCGCAGCGGAGCTAGGTCGTAGGGACGTCTTCTTGACGGCACATCCTTCGTCATCTACCTAATTTTGCTATACTGCGACGACTTTCAAAAGTCATCCACGATGCACCCGAGCGGCTCTGTGGGATGATGCTATTTTCTTCCTCTATCACTGCCTCCCGAGGGACACAGGAACACGTCCTCTGTACGGATAGTATCTCTGACACCGCCTGGGGTGTCAACAAATCAAGTATTACACTACATCGTCGATGATGTAGTGAACGCCTCGGTAAACGGTGTAAACCCCAATGGGACATAAAGTGAAGATATTCATTGATGTCGTCGGATTTGTGGGGGACTATCCAGCTTTGTCTTCAGTAGTAGATGTTGTCGGACACGTCTGCAGGGCTCCCTGCACACTTTGCTCATTCAGAAGATTAAAAGAATCAGGTACTCAGGGCTCAAGATTTGGCCACACAACGAAGGTTCATGCTAGTAATTCTGCGTTTATGCCACACCGAGAGCGCCACAATTCCTTGCGGGAGAGTAACATCCCAGACGAGGATTCAAATAAGCTTGGGATGGTGACTAACGAGAAATATTCAGATAGTTCCTGCCCTTTGCTTTATCTGCAACGGACTATGGAGTCAAAGAAGAGCAGCTTTGCTCTCGCAAGCAATGGATTACCAGTTATTTCTAGCGACCTCGATGCTTTCCGTTGTAATATTGTCGCGCCCGATCATTTATTGACAAGATTGGCTAAGGGCATCATTAACGTCACATTTAGGACCCTTCCATCAAAGGATTTGCGCATGGATGCAGATATGTACATTTCTAAGGCTTTGCGTGATAACGGTCTTCTACGCCAGAAAGAGGTATTAAAAAAAACGAAGAAAAAGCTACACAGCAGGACGTTATCCGAATTGTTTTGTGTATTAGTCGTGTCAGTTCCGACAATGAGAGTAATAATCATGCGATGCCCTTCAGAACACATCATCCAGGACTGTTTTAAACTCCTCAAAAAATTACAACGTCTTGTCGCCCTTACGTAATGGTGGCCTGTGCAGGAACTGGACGGCAAAAAAGCGGTGGCTCTGGTTTATGAGGACAAAGATGCATACTTTTCAGATCTGAAATTTTTGTCCAAGCAATATGACCAGGAAGTCAACAAGATCTGTGCACAATCTGATGGCATCAGGCAGCAACTGGATAAACCAAACCTTCATAGACTCATCGAATTGTATGAGCATGCCATTCCTGCGTTCGGGCATGTCAGAGAGGTTATGGAATTAGTGTTTGAATCGGCCCACCAGCCACTCAAGCGATCTATAACCCGTAGTAACAATCGCATTGCTCATATATTCGCAGTCGAGAACTGTGTGGGAAAGGACTGGCAAGGAAGGATCGCTGCCCCGGGGAAGCAAACATTTCGCCTAGATGCGCGAACTCGGACGACAGCGAAAAGGGGACTTCGACGTGTACTTCTGGGAGAAGCAGCAGATCTGCTCGACGTGGAGAAGCACAGTGAGCTAATTAAAAATATAGACACGATACTGCGTAGTCTCTTTACGCCTGCACTGAAGGCACAATTCCAAAAGTACACGATGATGTCTAACTTTGGTGTTGCAAAAATATCTTTATGGAAGGCAAGAGTGTAATGGGTACCTATGCAGTCTCCTGAATATCACTAAAACCAGGCAAATGAAATTGTGGACACATCAAGACTTTGGATTGATTCTTTATATCTTGCTATCCCACAACTCGAAGAAGAAACTCTTGAACAAGAGAAGGTCATCATCACCTTGTTCAAAAATGCAAGACGCGTAATGGTATCCAAATCCGGACGCCATATCGGAAAACAAAGCGAGCACGACACGATTTCCGCTAACTCATGTGTACAACTGTACTTGGATCCAATTAATGCAGAGAGTAAGATATTAACTTCAAATGCAAGGGCTGCGCAGGCCAGACCGTTCTTCCTCGCCATCCTCGCAGTTCTGCAAAGGAAGCAAGAGACACCGTTCGCTGTTTGTTTCAAGTGCACGAGAAGAAAGGATTGGGTAGAGAGGCGTGCAACCGTAGACAACCACTCGTTTCAGCTAATTCTCCTAACACCGGATGTACGCAGAATTGCGAATTACCATATATGTGACAGGAACGCGGAAGAACATGCTGCATGCAGGTGGGACCCACGAACGGGAGAGGTCTCTCACACTCATCAGATGCATATCAGCATCTGATGAAGTGCGAATGAGAGCACTTCTGTATTCGGAGATAGTATGAAAGCTGCCATGCGCAGCATCGTGGTTAATGTCACGTGCGAACATTACTCAATGAGTAAGAACTTACCATCCTGTCAAGCCGCATAACAACTGAACCTGGTGAAGGGGGGATGATCACACGTCCTCATTACTTTCGATGGGTCCAGGTGTTAGATTTTTCGTAGAATAGTAACGCAACCCAATCGCGGCAATGCAGTAATAGTGTAAATAAACCATGATGCATTCATTGATATAGGACGATTCCAATACAGTCTTCGCACAATGAAGAAATCATCTAAAAGTAAGGCGACGTTGGAATATGGGATGATGAAAGAGGCAGTCCCAATGAAAACTAATATTGACAACTACATCATTATTCCTGCTGTTTGCTATGGACAACTGTAATTTTCCAAAAACACACCGAGGAGAGGTCGGCGTATGCACAGGTACTGACCGAGAATACAAAACAACTATCGCAGCATAGTGCCAATTTCAATGC